GGCCAAATTGATACACACATTTTTTGGGGGACATAATTCAGTGCACGACATGGTTCCAGGTCTTTCACCTTCCTCATCACTGTCTCCTGGAAACTCTAAAATAGTGTTCCCCAAACTGTGTTTTGGAATACTTGTAGAGATATTAAAAGTTATTCCTTAAAAAAAAACAAAACAAAAACAATCTTGGTGTAGGACGTTGGATTTCATGGCCAAATAAGTTTCTAAAATGCTGTTCTATTTGTCCGTGTACCCCCTGACCGGTTGTAACCAGGAATGAACAAGTTCTTTAATATGATTTGGCTAATTGTAGGTATAATGAATCTTTGTTTTTGATTGAGTAATTTTTAGTTGTTAATTCAGCCTGAGATGGCTTTTAGCAGCCATCCCACAGTATGGACTCAAATCTGGTTTGCAATCAGATAGGTCATCTTCACTTTAATTGCTATCATTTCAGTTCTTCCCTCCGTCTAATGTCCTTCCAGGGTCTGTTATTTTACTCGACAGGTATGGAGCAAAGGAGCTAATGTGTTGATAGTGTTCTTCATTTCCAGGTATTATTCAGGTTACATAGAAGATAGGTCCTAAAATTAGCTTGTTAAAATGAAAATAGCTTAAATACCATTAAAACATATGTAGACTATTTTCCACAGAAGTTAAGTCATTTAGAAGTTAAGTCATGTAAATGCTCTGTTTTTTTGGAAGACTTCAGCAAATTTACAGATCCAACTCACAAATGGTTTCATTGTGTTGTCTCTGGTTTTTATAGATTTTACCAGTTCCTCCAACTTTTTGTTAGTAAGTGTTTCTCTGAGGCCCTCAATTAATTATTTTGTTTCTTCCTTAAGGTAGCCAGTGCATCCAGCCTTCCCAACCTGCCTGGCGAAATTAACACTTTTTTAGTTGTCAGAAAGCCCTTAAAATCATGTTCTTCTGTAGAATTCAGGCTTGGTGGTTTCAGGCTTAACTTTTTTCACTATGAAAGGTACCAGGAAATGAGACCCATGCTTCTCCCTTCACACTTGTTCTCAGGTACAGGACGAGTGTTAGACTATTGACATTATTTGTTTTTTTTTTCTCTCTCTCTCTTTCCTTCTTATCCCCCCGCCCCCCATTCCACATAATTGAATTCTTATAAGTTTGGCAGGTACGGTTCAGCTGTAGTGCAAATTTCTTGCCTTTTCTAGCCCTTTTTTTCCTCTCAAATTTTTTGAACTAGATGATCTATCAAAATTCTTCCACTATTAAAATTCTGTGATTCTAATTCTGTGTTAGTTTAAGCAGGGGGGAAAAAAGTCATTACTAATGTTTGTGTGGTGCTCTGAAGTTCTTAAAGTCATTTTACAACAGGTGTATGGCATTTGATCTTTAGAATTATGCTAAGAGAGGGAGGAGTTAGTGTTTCCACTTTATAGATGACGAAACTGAAATTGACAGGTGAAGTGACTTGCCTAAGGTCTCAACGGTAAATGGGAAGCCGGAAACCAAAACTAAGTCCAAGTTTTTTATTCTAGTTCCCATGTCAACTATATTTAAATGATACTTCAGTTGTTTTCCTTTTTTAAACGCCACAACTCTATTTATTAGTCTGTTTTAGAATTCCGTGGTGATGACATTGAATTTCCCTCTCTGAAACTTACTATTTTCATCTTTGATAATTCTACGTGCATGCATGTATATATATATAAAAGCAAATATTGTTAAATTTTAGATAGTTCTTATTATACTTTGTGGTGACTCTTACCATCTGATTATATTAGCTAGCAGTTATTTTCAAGCATTTGTTTGAAATTTCAAAAACTTATTTTGATACAAAGAATAACTTTCAAAGTTCTCTATTTCATATTTCTAAGAGATAAGGTGAACTATTTAATTTACTCGTTACAAATTACTTTATATGGTGTTATAGCATATTCATGGAACACACTGATACTATTACTTTTCTTTTTATTTATTTATTTTTTATTTTTTCCCATACGAAAATTTATACATACATTGTTATGTGAATCTAATTGCTCTCCCCATACTGTGACAGCACACTCCTCTTTTGCACCCCTGATTCCCTTGTCCATTCAACCTTCAACCAGCTCCTAACGCTCT